CGCTATGAGTCAGGTCTGACTTGACGGCACATAACAACAACAACAACAACAACAACAACAACAGAGGTCCTGGGAGGACAGGCCTGGTGATGTGCTTCTGAAAGGTCACAGCCTGGAAAACCCTATGGAGCAGTTACTCTGAACACATGAGGTTGCCATGAGTCAGAATTGACTTGATGCATCCAACAACAACATATACATATATAAATATATGTATTGTATATGTTCATAGCATATGATTTCATATATACATATAAATGTGTGTGTGTGTGTGTGTGTGTGTGAAGACTATGAAATTGTTAAGAATAGTAAGATAGATTTGTATGTATGACATGGAAAGATCTCCAAGAAACACATTTTAAAAAAAGGCAAGCAGCAGAACAATATACTATGATCCTGCGATTAAAAAATAATCTAAGATTTTTTTCTTTGGTGGCATAGTGCCTGAGGCATTTGACTGCTAACCAGAAGGTGGTGGTTCAAACCCACCAGCCACTCCTCGGAAGGAAGACTGAGCAATCTACTTCCGTAAAGACCTAACACCTCAGAAACCCAACAGGAGTTGCTATGAGTCAGAATCGACTTGATAGGAGTGAGTTTAGTTTTGGATCTCTAGGGAGGAGACTTGGATGAAGTGGGGAATCACAGGAGACTATAGCAAGATTTATATCATTTGAATATATATTTTTTGCTTCGATGATTTTACTCAAGAATATATTCACATGTCATTTGTATAATTAAAAATAGTGATACAGCAAAAAAAAAAAAAATGATACAGCACTTAACACAATGCCTAGCATATCGCAGATGCTCAACAAATGTTTTCCTTTTGGAAAATAATAAAATATTTTGAAAGGGTTAAAATTTTAAATATAAAGGATAATGGAACAGGTTCTATGGCCAAGGTTAAACACATTAGAAGGCAAGAAGTTACAGAATTCTTCCTGATTTTCAAATACTGATTTAAGTATCTGAAACCAAGAAGCAGGGAAAAGGAACATTATTGGGAACAAAAGATTCACTGAACAACCAAAGAAATGAGTCCCAACACATTCACATAGGAAGACCCACAAACAGTAAGCAAATGCTTCTAGAAGTGCCTTTTTGAAGGGCACACATAGGGCCCATGAAATGGCCATCTCACCTGTTGTCTTTGTTGAAGAAGTGGCAGAAATCCCATTGTGCTCACTAGAACTCCTTTTTATGGGCCTTGCCTGGTATTCTCGCTTGGGGATCTCTGATGCAGCTGATATTCTGTAACACATGTTTTAAGATGAGTCAGACACCTGGTAAAGAAAGCAATGCTTCTAAACATACATGAACTCTGCTACAGACACAAACTTGGGTCATAGGCAGTTATCATGAAGGAGATTTTTTTTTTTTTTTTTTAATTACGCTTTGGATATAGATTTACAGAGCAAATTTGTTTTACATTCAACAGTTTGTGCACATTTGATTTCCTGCCCGGAATACCATCCCAACCATAACAAACTCTCCTCCTCTCCCATCCCTGTGACTACCCTCTACCTGTGCCCTATTAACTATGCATTCCTATCTGTCCAGCTTTCCCTCTATGTGAATGCTGCCCCTCTGGGATCTCACGACTGATTGATCTAAGGGGTACATATCCTTAGAGTAGGTAGGTGCATTGCCCTGGGGTAGGTGTTCTGCATGTAAATCTTTCTACTGTTGGGCTGAGAGCGAATCCATGGGAGTGAGTCCATTTCTGGTCCTGAAGGGTAACTCAGGGCCATAGTCTTGGGGGTGCCATCAGACTCTATTCAACCAGTAATTCTGTTCATTTTTGTGTTTTTTGAATTTTGTCCCACATTTTTCTTCTCACTCTATCCAAGATCTCCAGTTTTGACCCCTTTCCAAATGGTTGGCATTGGTAGCTGGGCACCATCTAGTTCTTCTGGTCTCAGGGTCATGAAGGCTGAGGTCCTCATGGTCCATCTTATCCTTGGACTAATTGTTTCCAAATGCCTTTGATTTTCTTCACTCTTCTTTGCTTCAGATGAGAGGAGACCAATAGTTGCAACTTAGATGGTTTCTCAAAAGCTTTTAGGAACCAAGTCGCTGCTCACCAAAGTAGGTGGTAGAACAAGAATTTTATGTACTATGTTGTGCCAATTGAGCATTATGTCCCCTGAGACTATGGTTCCAAGTCAGCAGGCTCAGTGATTCTCTATCTCAAGGTGTTTGGTTGTCTCTGAGAAGTTACTCCAACTCTGCCCTCTGTTGCTTCTGTAACGTGTGTGGCTAATTTTGTAGCACAAGTGCATATGTGAAATTATCTTCAGCTAAAGCTATCCTTGGTCTAGGGTATATTCCTGTTCACTGACCCCCACCTGATCTCCTCACCTATCTATGCATTTATCCGTAGCCTGGTGTTTGGTGTTAGTGGTAATGCAGTATTGTGCATATATATTTGCCTCTGTTGTCTATATCTTATGTGCACATTTAGGCGTTCTTCCTTTCCCCAGTGTCATCATGCTGGTCACAGACTCTTTCCACACTATCCTTCCCCTCACCCAAATCAACCCCTACTAGTCCAAAATTTTCCTTCCCATGAACAGTAAGCAATAAAGTGAGTTTCCTTCCCTAAGTAAACCTTTCCTTGACTTTTTACAGTAATGGGCTCATACAATATTTGTCCTTTGGAGATTGACTTATTTCACTCAGCATAATGTCCTCCAGGTTTATCCACATTGTGAGATTATTCACGTATCCTTCATTGTTCTTTAATGTAGCATAGATTCCTTTGTGTGACTGTACCATAGTTTGGTTATCCATTAATCTGTTGATGGGCATTTAGGTTGTTTCTATCTCTTTGCTATAGTAAATTGTGCTGCGATGAACATGGGTGTGCATATGTGTATTTATGTGCTGTCTCTCACTTCTTTAGGATATATTCCTTTCAATGGAATTAGGAATTCCTGGATCAAATGGTATTTCTATTTTCAGTTTTTTAAGTAAACACCATACCATTTTCCATAATGGTTGTACCATTTTGCAGTCCCACCAGCAGTGTATGAGAGTTCCAATCTCTCTGCAACCTCACCAGCATTTGTTATTTTCTGTCTTGCTGAACTTTGCTATTTTGCTGGGGTGAGATGATATCTCATTGTTGTTTTGATTTGCATCTCTTTAATGGCTAATGATCATGAGTATTTCCTCATATGTTTGTTGGCCACCAATATATCTTCTTTAGCGAAGTGTCTGTTCATGTTCCTTGCTCATTTTTGAATTGTGTGGTTTGTCTTTTTGATGGTGAGGTGTTGACGTTTTCTATAAATTTTGGAGATATCTTCGTCAGATATGTCATAGCCAAATATGTTTGCTCAATGTGTAGGTTCTCTTTTTACCCTTTTGGAGAAGTCTTTTGATGTACACAAGAATTTAATTTTTAAAAGGTCCCAGTCATCAAACTACTCATTCGGTGCATTTTGGGTTATGCTTGATAGTCTATTTATGCTGTAGATTAAGGTCCCTAGAATTGCCTCTATTTTATCTTTGATGAGCATTATAGTTTTGGGTTTTACATTTAAATCCTTGGTCCAATGTGAGTTCATTTTTGTGTATGGGAAGAGGTAGAGGTCTTGTTTCATTTTTCTGCAAGTGGATATCCAATTCTGCCAGCAACATTTGTTAAAGAGGGTATCTCTTCCCCGTTTAATGGGTTTTGGCCCTTTGTCAAAGATCAGTGTCCATAGATACATGGGTCTATTTCTGGGTTTTCAATTCTGTTCCATTGGTCCATGTGTCTATCATTGTACCAATATTGTGCTATTTTGACTACTGTGGCTGTACAGTAGGTTTTAAGATCCAGGAATGTGAGACCTCCTACTTTGATTTTCTTCTTCAGCAGTGCTTTGCTTATCTGAGGTCTTTTTCCTTTCTTTATGAAGTTAATAACTGGTTTTCCCATGTCCTTAAAAAATGTTGATGATATCTGGATCGGGATTGCATTGAATGTGTAGATTGATTTGGGTAATATTGACAATTTCAATGACTATTTCAGATGCCAGACTAGGTTCTGGCAAGATGGCAGACTAGGAAGAAAGACTGCACAGACCCTTTTCAACAAAGAAAAGGGAAACCAATTAACACAGACACAGGAGATAATCCTGAACCCCTGAGCCTTGAAGGGAAGGACATAAAAGTGGACTAAACCCCAACTAGCAGAATAATTTGCATGAAAATACCAAAAAAAGGAGACATACGGAGCTGTGGTCTGGCAGCGATCCTGAGCAGTCCTGATGGCACAGACAGTTTGGAGATTCCCAAGTGCTGGTAGGACTTAAGAATTAATCTAAAAATCAGCCCTGCTAGCCAGGGACTGCATGGAGGACTGCTCTGGTGGCAGGGGAATAAATGGAGAAGGTGAAGAGAAAGGCGGGCTGAGCTGTGGACTTTTGCCGGTCAAGAGGACACTGCTATTTTGAAGGTCTAAAAGTGGCTTGACTATTTTGGATATTTAAAGAGACAGCGCTCTCACAGACTCCTGGGGCTTAAGAACACTTTCTGCTTTCCAGAAACCCCAAGAACCCTCTGGACCTGCAAGACTGAAAAGGTACGACATTCTTCTTGTTACTCTTATACCCCACACCCGCTTGGTGAATGGAGGTGCGGCCATCCCCCACTCCCACCTACCCTCTGGGCCCACAGGAACTCCATCACAGTCTGTGTGCTCAGACGGAGCCTGGGTGCCTTGCCCTGTCCGTTTTTTTTTTCTCTTTTTTTTATTTTTATTTTTTT